GAAAAAAAAAACATCTAAACATTCAGATGCATGTTCATGCTTTGCTATACCTTATATTTCAGACTATATAAATCTAAGAAATCAGTATCAGTGTAATAGTCAGATGTACCACTTTTCTGTACTTGTGATTCAATTGGGAATGACTTTCATTATTAAAAAAAGATTCGTTGTTAGATGTAAATTTTGGAATTTTCCATAAAAATTATGGTCCATTTCACTTTCGTAATATTATTCGATGACTATACAAAATTGTAGGCTTCTGATTTATACTAACCCCAGTCTAACCCCAGGCTAAAATACACTACAATCGATCTATAAATATAACCCATAGTGCGAGAGCATAATATTTTGTGATTATCTCCTCCAACAATTTCAGAAAGTATGCCTTTTCCAATAGGAGTCGTTTTGGTCGAATAGTATTTTGGAATCGAGTTCAGTTATTTGTCCCAACGATGAACCCTTTTAAAACTGATCGGTTAAGACTTGAATATAGCTGCCAGATATATATTTTTGACCTATCAGCCCAAATACAACAGATTCCGCCACATATGATTGTACTCAGGTGAGAAATAAGCCTATAGACATTTGGGACGAAATCGATTAAGATATAGCTGTAGCTATCATACATAAAATTTTTTAGTATTAAAACCTTCTTAACGTCAGAATATGCTGTTACTTTCATTGATATTTTTTACTAGCGATTTGTCTACAATGATGATATATATTTTATATGATTTACTACAAACAAATTCTCAATACATACCCATTTTTGTTATGTCAAATATACACAGTGGTGTTTTTTAACATACAGTCGATTCCACCCGATGTTCGTCCTACGCTTGCATATATTACTTCTGTAATACGTATCAACAAAGAAATGTAGGTTCAAAAATATTCTGAAATCAAACATTACCCTAAGTCAAACATACAAGTAAAGTTTCTCGGACTTTACACCGAAGTTAGGGACGACTCGCCATCCAAATGCAGATATGGTATTTAATAATTCAATTTCTGCCTTAATCTAGGCATGTTCCGTTCAAAATGATTATAGAGGCTGTGCCTTTGAATCTGCATTGCGGTCAAGCATGATTTTAGATGAACTAACTCTGACAAGACATCCAAGATCTAATGGTATCTCATTGATATATGAGAAAATTGGATATTTATTGCAAAGTTATTGGCACTCGAAATATTCACTTCTTGGGGGTGAGGTGCGGTTTTGGTACGAGAAACAGTGATTCAATATTTTCCTATGAACATTACTACGGACAAAGTTTTTTTTCGGTTATAAATTCGAGATAAATTCTATATTTTTATGAAAAAATTATGTTTTATGGAAAACGTACATCAAAATCGGGAAATCATTTCCCATGGCTGGCTGATATATAGCTGGAATATTTGATATGATATGTTTTCAGAAAACCAAGAAATGAGTGTGATTCTCATTGACTTGAGATACTCAGCGAGCTTGCCTTTCACCTAAGTGATCATATCAGGCAGCTAAAAAAAAAAACAAAGTAATTATTCCGTTAGCCCGGATGAATTCGTGATATTGGTAACGATCGGCAAATATTACAAAGCTGTCTGTTTCGTTTTGAAAAACATCGCACTCTGTATTAGAGAGAAGTTAAGCTAATGGGGGAATACTCCAGACTTAAGCAATCAGTGCTAATATTATTAAGAATTTAGAGAATTTGTGGGCGAGCTATATGAATGAGTGGACTAATATTTCATTGTGCCATTTGATCGACCAAGTTTTTTTTTTTTTCAAAATTGTGACCTTTATTAGGTGGCCGCGGTTCCTATAATATCCATGCATCTTAGAAGATGAAATATTATCATGTATTATTACCTATATTACCATGTTATATTACCTAAATCTTATAGTCGCTTCAAGTGTTATTGTGCGTACAAGCTAGCCAGACCTACGGCAATAAGGATGGGCATGGCTAAATTGACTCTAAATATCCTGAAACGATTTTTGTTCAAAGAGACCTGAGCCACATTTTGGCCATATCAAATAATAAATACCCTTTTCATATAGGGAAACCATAGAGAGTCTTCTATCTGCTGGTGATCGATGGAAAGGCTGTCTTATTTATGATAGAATATCTCTTCTATTGAGGAATTTTTTTTTTTGGGTGCTTTTTTTTTTTTTTTTTAGAAACCCCATGGTTTTTTAACCATATTCATAAGAATGTCCCAAGATATAGAATGTAATGATTATATTTTATTGTGAAGGTATACTACCTTAAAGGGCCTATGGAGACGAAGACTCATTTAATATGGGTCATCTTCTGTATATTGGATACCTTTACAAGATTGTTTTGTCTTCTTCCTTTTACCTACCCAGATATTTTAACAGGAATACAGAGCACAAATTATGTATATTGTTTAAAACTGTAAAATTTGATGGGTTTTAATCATATTCAAAATAAGTCCCTAACATATAGAAAATGAAGATTTGTTGTCTATATATGATCTAGTGAAGGTATTCAACCTTAAAGAGTCAAAGGCGAAGAAACACATTAAATATGGATCATCTTCTGTCTATTGGATACCTTTACAATATTTATTTTCCCACAAGAAGACAGACAGTTTTGGATCCCTACAGTGTCTTCAAACTTCTTCTATCTACCCGGCGATTTCCACAGGAATACAGAGCACAAGTGATGTATATTGACTAAATATTTGGAAATAGAGGAGTATTGGCATGTTTGTCCGTAGTAGTTTGTTGTTGCAAAATATTCAGGATTAATCCCATTATTGTTGTTTTTATAAAAACGTTTATTTATTAGTGAACTTTTTTATCTCTTAGTTTACGACGAAAATATCTGAAAATATCTTGAAAAGATTTTTAGCCTGGCGGAATACATCTGTACTATTCTGAAAAAAAAGTCATTGAATTTTCTTGTCTGAATCAAAATAGAGCTTTCCATGAAACAAGTGATTTTTAAAGGACCATCCTTTAATGTCACATTATAATTTTAATCCTGTCTTGATACTCGAATATATTTACTTGCCTATTCTAGGTGTAACCCTATGCAAAACAGTTGCCTCTGTTTATTTTCCTTCTCAATCTAACCTCACTTAGCGATGACATTTGACAGCAGAACAAGGCAGGCAACCCGCTTTGAAATTGTCAGCATGTCAGCTGCTGCAAAATGTCAAAAGCAAAACATATGATTGTACAATTTGCAGGGCCATGAAACAGAACATAACACAGAAAATAATGATAAAGAGAATTCAGGATATGGGCCTTAGAAGAAGAAAAGACCAAAAAGTAGAGAAAAATTTGCCAAAGAGAACAATAAAGCAAAGCTAAGAGAACTGAGTAAATTGACAGGATATTTGTTACACAGACACAGAGGCACATTCAATGATGGCAATGAGGCAAGTGAATATTGAGGCTCTAGAGACATAAAATTCGCTGCAATTCTTGTTTTCCTCTACGGCGAATTGTGTTGGTTTGCTCGCCTGAAATTGGAGACATTGGAGCACAGAGCAGCAACGATGACTGGCGGTGCCCCCGAAAAGGATATGTTGTGGCAAAAGCATTTAGGCAGAGTGTAGATGACGGTGATGTAAAAACAAATAACATCGAAACGGAATGCAAACGACGACGGATGATAGCGTAAAAGAACTCAGTGTGTGAAATATATTTTCTGGTGTTTCTCAATTTTTTTGGTGGCTGGCAAAATATTTTCATTTTGTGGCAAGAAAAATAAAACAAGTGAATGGAAATTGTTTTTCGCGAATGTGAAGGAAATTTATTGATTTTGTTCAGCAGAATTTTCCCTTTTTGTTTTTTTATTTTATCTTTTTAGTTTGGCATTCTTTGCTTCTTTCAATTTTTCATACACCAAAACATGACCTCCACAGAGAAATTGAGTCACGTGCAAAAAAAAAAAAAATAATAAAAAAACAGCAGCAGCACCGAACAATGCTTAAAAGAATTCTTTGCTCCTCGGAGTATATGTTGGACCGTGAGTGAATGAGTGTGTGCGTGTGTGTATGTCTGTGCAGCAATGTCCTTTTTCTAGTGAATGTGTGTGAGTGTCTGTGTGCCCGTTTTTTGTGCAAAGAGTGTGTTTATGAAATATAACAAAAAAAAGAAGGAAAACGTCCCGAAAAAAGTGAGAATAAATTCAGTGCAAATACAAAGAGTCAAAGGGCGTGGACCATGACATCGAAATGTTCACAAAACACAACCAAATAATAATTTTCGTTTGCAAAAATTAAAATAATTAACAAAAAGCAAGTGTTTTTCTTTTAAAAAAATGTGCGGCTCAATGAAATAACTTTGAGGCCACCCTGTTGTTTATTTTTCGAATTTGCCATCATTTTCCATTGACGTGGGTACCGATAGCTGGTGTTTTATTGCTTTTGGTTTTCCTAATCCTTATCGTCCTCTTATTTTTCTTGTTTCAATTGCAGTGATACAATATCTACGTTCAAATCGAATTCATCAACTCAACCCAAAACAAACGTGAAATAAAAACCTAGAAAACATAGCCATCCCAAGTCGTCATCTTTAATGGCTAAAACAACTAATCCGAAACAGGTCGTAAAAAGTAATTGAAACATTTTAAGAAAACAACGTGGTAAAAACAAATAACAAAATAACAACCCAAAGAAAGCAAATGGAAAGAAGCTAAAGAAAAAAACCTATAAAATTTACAACAACCTCCCACGCAATAGGAAAGCAAAAAAAGAAAAGAAAAAGTAATCTTCCCTTTCCCCCCAGTCAGTGCAACTAAAACAGCAAGGAAGAAGTATGAAAACAACAGCAACAAAGTAATTCATATCCTGTAACGTTGAAAATACAAAGAAGGCGCAACAAATTTTGCTTTAATTACCCAGCCAATAAAACAAGTTGTGATGATGACCTCCTAAGTTCATGAAATTCCAATTCGATGTAAAACAACAAATTTGAAAAAAAAAATAATAATAACAGTGCTATTTGCTTTTTAAATCAAAACAAAAGAAAATTTAAATTTATTTTGAAATTGTATCATCATTAATATTTGAAATCCCAAAAATAAGTGAAAAATTAAAATCAGTGTCTGTGTGTCTGTGACAAGAGGTGTTGAAAGTGCGGAAGTTTTGATAATTGGTTCCTGATTGCTCCCCGACAAATTTTGTTGTGGGGACTTTTAGCAAAAGTTATTGATTTTCGGTCTTCGCCAGCAACACCAAAACATCATTAGTGCATGGTTTCATACATTGGATTATGATTGTTAAAAAAAGGTAAGTCCAAATATGTTCATAAAAATTGGTAGGATTTCAAATATCATCTCGATTTTATGAAATATGAAGCTAATAAATTTAATGCAGAAAAGTCAAGGAATTCAGCAGTTATGTGAAATGAGATTAATGTGGCAATTTCTGTTAAAAATAAATAGGCAAAAATTCAATGAAATGTAGGTCCAAATCATCAGCATAAGGTCTTTATTTTTGTTGTTGCAAAATGGTCAGGCTTTATCCCTTTATTGTTGTTGTTGCAAAATGGTCAGGCTTTATCCCTTTATTGTTGTTTTTATAAAAACAACGTTTGTTTATTAGTGGAGAACGATTGTAATGTTTACCAGGTTTTATTTTTATCAAATTTTTTCAAATCTACCCAAAATTTTTTTCGGGAGAAAAATAAATAATTATTTTCAATTTCAGTTTCTATGGGAATAATATCGGAATATTAAAATTTTGGACTATTAAATTAAATTTCCTAGATTTTATTTAACAAATTTTATTTGGAGTCTATGAGCCTAAAAGTTGCTGAAATTGAGAATATTGCCCCAGTTTTTATGAAAGTTGAAGGTATTTAGATTGATATTTTTGATTCGGAAACCTTAAGGAGTTTACTTGCTATATGAATATATCCTTTTAGGAAATATTCAAATTTTTCGTTAAAATTGTCGTCAGAAAAATAAGTACAATTTTCAATTAATTGAAAAAGCTGTTTCCGATTCAATATTGATAGACAGAGAGAGGTGTATTTTTCCCGTCTCAAATAAAATCATATACTTTACTTCTGGGGATATTATTTGAGGAATCTTACCTTAATTTTTATAGGAACATTTATTTATTTTTTTAAAGCATAACAAGTGGAGAAATATGTAAATGTTTATAAGTGCGGTTGTAAGATTTAGAAGATTTTCCAAAAGAATTTTAGTTTTATTTAATTCTTTGGTTCCTCTTCTATTGAGCTTACGATCTCGTCACTTGGGTAAAAACTGTTTTTTGTCATAAAAGTTATTTTTAAAATAACTTCTGGGGAGAATATCCTAGACAAAAAACAAAGGGAACTGATGGGGATTGGTGGCCCTTTCCGAAACCTAGGTATTCCCTGCCTTACCCCCTGGTAAACATTACCACCGTTCTCCACTAATAAACAAACGTTGTTTTTATAAAAACAACAATAAAGGGTTAAAGCCTGACCATTTTGCAACAACAAAATGCAAATAATATCAAAATTATAATTTTTTTTTTCGTATTGGGTTTACGTAGAAGATCTAGAAAATGTTTTAAGGATTTCAGAATTTTATGACCTTAAAATTAATTGGGTGTTTGTTTTTCCTAATTTTTTCCTTTCAAAAAGCGTTGTTTTTAAAATAAAAAATAATCATAATAATATTAAAACAAGCACAAACCGTAATTTCGGCCGGGCCGAACTTTGAATACTCTCCACTATTTGGAATGAATTTTGCAATTCTCAAAAACAATAAAATCCGTTAAGAAGTTCTGTTAAAATCTTAAAAATACCGAATGTAGCTGTTATATTAAGGTCTATACGACGACGTAGACCTGCATAGGCAACTTTTGCCATAAACCATTACAATATTCACATGCGAAACTTAAAAAAGGTGAATAATGTAGCTAAAATCATCAAAATACCGAATATCTGGAGGTACCGTTATATGGGGGCTATACGAAGACGTGCATCTGCACGGACAACTTTCTCTCTTAGGCTGTAGTATCCATTTCGACTTCAAATAGTATCCATTACGAACTTCAAATAATAAATTTCAAACAATTCCAGTGAATAATGTCGCTAAAATCATCAAAATAGAAAAGGGAGGTAACTATATATGGGGGCTATACCAAAACGTGGACCTACATGGTCCATTTTCAATACCAAAATTCCTGCAGGCATAATTAAATTTGAGTAAAATGTTATCAATCTACTTCATTTCGTTTGGAAGCTAAAGTGATTTCCACAGACGGACGGACATCGCTAAATCGACATAGAATTTAATGCTGATCAAGAATATATATAATTTGTGGGGTCTAAAATGTGTATGTCCAGGTGTTACAAACGGAATGCCAAGCTTAATATGCCATCCATGCTAAAAAAACTTTAAAATATGTCTTAAATATTTCCAAGGCCTTTCTTCCAAGTTGTTGCATTAAATTTACATGAAATGTCCTTGTAGATCGACAATCTTAAAAGAAGAAGTATTTCAAGAAAAATTTCACTATAAATCTCAGAATAAATATATCTTGATATGACAGATTTCAAGAAAGTCAGATTGTGTAAAGTGAAAATTATGTATTTTCGTTTTTACTGTTAATTTAAAACGTTTCCATTTTATGTCAAAACCTAATAAAGGAGAAAATACTTCAGAACAAATTTCAATGTGAATCTCTTAGCAAAAGAAATGTATATATTTAATCTGTATCATAGAAAAATATCATCAATTTCGGTTTATATAAATCTGCTGTTTTTTCTACGAATTTATTACTTTTTCCTACTTAGCTGTAAACAATCTTATAATTTCACTGTACAATAGCCAGTTTGGGCTTTGGAAAATGCCATGCGGATTTGATAGTACCTTTACAAATAAGAAATTTCTTCTAAGGAGGTCTTCTGATAATTGATATAAAATATACAACCTCTCGAACATTATTTTCACCATCAAGAGTTTTTACGAAATATGTCAAATTACATTCGGTAGGCAAATGTCAAATTACATTCGGTAGGCAAATTAAAGCCTTTAAAGGACAGTTTTCCCACACATTTTCTTAAAAATATGCAATATATTTTCTTTAAAAGTGATATTGAAATTTGATTAGAAAAAGTGTCCTGGATCTCTGAAAACTAAATACATTCGGTACTGTCTATTAGAAAAATAGAAATTAATATTTAAATGGATTTTATTTTTTCCGAACCAGGCTATGGTTTTTCCATCATTTACAGAAATTGCTGAAAAAAATATTTCAAATTGTCTCGAAATCTTTAAAAAATTTGGGACTTTAAGTGATGCTTCTGTATGACGATACAAATGTAAATTTGAAAGAAAAACACCATTCCAAATACATTTTTTCATATTCTAATATTGAATTCCAAAACTTGCAAATCTACATCTGGAATGGTGATTTTCGTTCGCCTCCGAAAACAGGCCCTAATTTAGATAAATTTCCAAATTTCGAGACTTTAAATTGTAGCTTAATTTAAGGGATTTTTGTAGATTTTCGTAAAATAGATATATGTATTTTCTATAAAAGTGTTATTGAAATTTGATAGGAAAAGGTGTCCTGGATCTCTGAAACCTAAATAGTCTATGAGGAATATAGAAATTAATATTTAAATGATTTTTGTTTTTTTTTCTGAACTATTTTCTTTTATATATCTGAACAAACATATACAGAAATTGCTGAAAAAAATATATATATTTCCAATTGCCACGAAATCCCCAAGAAAGGTTTGACTTTAAGGGCCTATGTCTGTATGTCGATACAAATGTGAATTCAGAAAAATTCGGAAAACACTATTCCAAATAATTTTTTTCATACTTTAATATTGAAATCCGAAATTTGTAAAGCTACATCTGGAATGGTGTTTTTCATTCGCAATCCGAAAACAAGCCCTTGAATTAGATACACTTGCAGTTCATGTTTCCAAATTTTTGAGACTTTAGCTTCGTTTATGTGCGTGAAGATAAAAACGTTTTTAATTTTCGAACACTTTCAGTTGTATAACAGTGTATAACAGTTCAAAAACGTTTTTGTATATGAACGGAAAATAAAAACGATTTTCTAGGTTATAATAAAAACGTTTTTCAACGTGTTAGACTTTTAATCTTAGTCATTTGTTTGATTTACGAAAAACAATTTTTATTATCTCCTAGTAAATGAAATACTAATACAATACAATATGTATTGATCTAAGCATTTCATTGTAGAAATTTTGAGAAAAAAATTTATCATCGAAAAATACGATTTTAAAGGACAAAATATGTTTTGGCCTATATCTCAGGATCAAAAAAGGATACGCGTGTATGGAAGGTATCGTTAGAAAGGTGATTCCCTCTACTTTCCGAATATGTATTGATGTAAGCATTTCATTGTAGAAATTTTGAGAAAAAAATTTATCATCGAAAAATACGATTTTAAAGGACAAAATATGTTTTGGCCTATATCTCAGGATCAAAAAAGGATACGCGTGTATGGAAGGTATCGTTAGAAAGGTGATTCCCTCTACTTTCCGAATATGTATTGATGTAAGCATTTCATTGTAGAAATTTTGAGAAAAAAATTTATCATCGAAAAATACGATTTTAAAGGACAAAATATGTTTTGGCCTATATCTCAGGATCAAAAAAGGATACGCGTATATGGAAGGTATCGTTAGAAAGGTGATTCCCTCTACTTTCCGAATATGTATTGATCTAAGCATTTCATTGTAGAAATTTGGAGAAAAAAATTTATCATCGAAAAATACGATTTTAAAGGACAAAATATGTTTTGGCCTATATCTCAGGATCAAAAAAGGATACGCGTGTATGGAAGGTATCGTTAGAAAGGTGATTCCCTCTACTTTCCGAATATGTATTGATCTAAGCATTTCATTGTAGAAATTTTGAGAAAAAAATTTATCATCGAAAAATACGATTTTAAAGGACAAAATATGTTTTGGCCTATATCTCAGGATCAAAAAAGGATACGCGTGTATGGAAGGTATCGTTAGAAAGGTGATTCCCTCTACTTTCCGAATATGTATTGATCTAAGCATTTCATTGTAGAAATTTTGAGAAAAAAATTTATCATCGAAAAATACGATTTTAAAGGACAAAATATGTTTTGGCCTATATCTCAGGATCAAAAAAGGATACGCGTGTATGGAAGGTATCGTTAGAAAGGTGATTCCCTCTACTTTCCGAATATGTATTGATCTAAGCATTTCATTGTAGAAATTTTGAGAAAAAAATTTATCATCGAAAAATACGATTTTAAAGGACAAAATATGTTTT